ACTAAAGATACTACAAAGTGGCATTTGAGATAATTTATAACTAAAGTTGTTTAGTGTAACTTCAAATTACTCCTCCATGGCAAAATTCAATATATTCTACAACCACTATCCTTATTTTTCCAGAGGTGTTTTTTTTTGGGGGGGGGGGTAGAAGGGGGAGTTTACCTTTCCTAGTAAAATGGTTTTTAATGGTTTGCATTCCAGGGTTAAAACAAATGTTACCGCAGTTACCATTGCTGTATTTCATATGTCCGCTTCCTGGATTTCTTCAAAGTGTGGTCACTCCAAGGTATGCACAATTGCATCGATAGCCTTTCCGATGCACCTAAAATTCAGACTCAAAATGTGCTCTATTGGATCAGCCACTTCTTTTTCTCTGGCATGACTTGTCGAAATAGTAAATGCTGCTGGACATTCTGAAATGGCACTATGGTACTTCCATGAAATGCACAACTCATGCAAAGCATTCATAAGAGGGGTGGGAGGAATTGCGGAGTTGGAAGAGACCTTTCTATGTGTTAAGTACAACAACAGAGGGATTTGAAGATTAGTGTAATGTTTGGGATAATCTGTTGCCTGTTTTTTTTTTAATGTATATACTAGGATCAGATGATGGGTTGATTTGATTATCGGATAGAAATCCCCTTACTTGGAACATTTGTTTATTTAATATAGTATTTTTGTTAAATCAGGAAGGGAAAGCTTATAATTTGTAGACCTGTTATATAAAGGGGAGGAAATTTATCGGTTTTCTTGGTTTTTTTTCTTTTCTTTCTCAACATCCAGCTAGGGTGGATTCCATATGTTTAATGTTGAATTTATTTAATATTTAGGGTTTTCTTCTTCTTTTTTCTATACAATTTTTCCCTTTTTGTTGTTAGTGTTGGATGTATGTTTTTCTGTTTGGTATTTTATTCTTGTTGATATGTATATATACCAGTGTGTATGTATGTATGTATGTATGTGTATGTATGTATGTATATATGTATGTAGGTCTTTGGTTGTTCGGGTTTTCTCCCGCATAAAATTGGAAGTGTCTTGGCGACGTTTTGATGAAGTCCCATTCGTCATCTTCAGGCTGGTGTTTTTAGCTTCGTGCTTCGAGGAGCATGAACAACCGAACAACCAAAGACCTACATACAAACACCCGCGAAAACCTCAGAAAACATATATATATATATATATATATATATATATTGAGAAAACTAATCTTGACTTCCTTCAGTTCTCTCAACCTGCAATCTGGTGAATTCTTGAATGGTCACTTCCATTTCTTCCTTGTCAGTAACTCCGGTTTAACTGCTTCCCCATTTCCTCCTTCACATTTTGGACGATTTAAGGTTTCTGCAAGGCATGCCAAGAGTTGGATCTTTCACACTTGCCCAAGGGTTTGATTCCCAAATGATGTCAGGACAGCTGAAATCCCTTATTATCACAGGGGCATTCCCCCCCCCTGCTCTGTTTCTGATTTGTGAAGATTTCTGCTATTTCTATATCCAATGAAAGGTTCGGCAATATTTAGTACAGACCCATAATAGTGTCATTACTGTTTCTTTTTCACTTAATATTCAGCCAGATGCTTTCAGCAGAGTTTTTACCCATGGGGTCATGAATGTCTATTGAAGCGCAGTCATTTTCAGTGTATAATGTGATTCCCCTCTTCCATTTTGTTGAGTCTGTTTCTTTTAAACAAATTATTTATTTATTTTATTTTCAGTGTTTATATGCCGCCCAATCCCAAAGGACTCAGGGCGGCGTACAAAGTTAAAACAATGATAAAACAATAAAATAAAGCAGTCATACTGCGAGTCCGATCATATCCCGGCCCCCCGGGGACATCAGCCCCAGGCCTACCGGAACAGGAGGGTTTTAACCGCCTTCTTAAAGGCCGGCAGGGTGGGAGTAGTTCGAACCTCGGGGGGAAGTTGATTCCACCAGGTCGGAGCCACCACAGAAAAGGCCCTTCCCCGAGGGCCCGCCAGCCGACATTGTCTGGCCGACGGGACCTGAAGGAGGCCCAATCTATGGGACCTCACCGGTCTCTGGGAGCTTTGCGGCAGAATGCGGTCCTGTAAGTAACCTGGCCCTATGCCATGAAGGGCTTTAAAGGTGATAACCAACACCTTGAATTGCGTCCGGAGACCCACCGGAAGCCAGTGCAGCTCGCGGAGGATAGGTGACACGTGGGCGTACCTTGGCGCGCCCACAATCGCCCTCGTGGCTGCATTCTGAACCAACTGCAGCCTCCGAACGCTCTTCAAGGGTAGCCCTATGTAGAGCGCGTTACAGTAATCCAGTCTTGATTATATCTTTCAAGTACTATATTCCAATGATGAGTTCCATCCCACCAAGTTTCAGAAATAGCAATAAGATCAATTTGTCCTCCCCCATACTATGACTTCAAGAAGGTAATTTGTTACTAACATTCTATAGAAAACCAGTTTGGCTAACATTATTAACATTCCTAGAAAGTCCATTTGGTATAGTGATTAAGGCACCATGTTAGAAACCAGGAGGTTGTGAGTTCTAATCCCATTTTAAGTATGAAAGTCAGCAGGGTGACTTTGGGTCAGTCTCTCTCTCTCAGCCCACAATGTCAGGCTTGAATAACAAATTGGTTGGTCTGTTCTTGTCACAACCAACAGATCAACACTTGATTGATCCAAAACCAAAAGCGGATCCTGCATTTTTGGAAACTTACTAGGAAGAAAAACAATTACATGATGCATAATCTAGCACAGATCCGCTCTTATTAAACTCTTTATCTTTTATAGTGAGATGTCAGGCCCAAAACCAAGAATGACATGTGGTGATTTTTCCAAGCTGAGTTTTTTATTGTTTCATGCCTTTAGACAAAATCTTGCCAGACTGAGCACTCTACTATCAGCATCTACAAAAGAGGCCCTCAACCTTTTAGGCACCAGGGACCAGTTCTGTGGGGAGAGGTTTTTCCGCAGACCGGAGGGGGCATGGTTTCGTGTGCTACCTGCATCCCATGGATGGGGCTTCGCTTGTTTGCGCAGCCTAGTTTCTGGAATGCCACGGACCGGGGGTTGGGGACCTCTGATCTACAATATTTACAATATACTCTGCGAACTGTTAGGGAGGGGCTGTCTTCCTCCTCTTTTTCTCACACATAATATCTGGGCTAAGTTGCCTCTTATTCCTCTGGAATGCACCCTCTCTCTCCTGGGGATCTATCTCCTCACTTCGTTCCATCACATGAGAACAGAAATTGTACTAATGCAGGAAAATGTGTTAGAAAGTTCATAAATTACAGTAGGAATGCAATCTATAGTAGGTAGACAGGTGGACTCCTGCAGCACTGAGTGAAGCAACCTATTACTTGTTCAACAAGTCGAAGACTAAAAAAGTTATATTGCATATATGTATTTCTACCAAGTGTTTCCTTAGAGATTGTGCTTACAGTTTGAAAATGAGAGAAACTGTCCACACAGGTGACTCTATGTCCAACCGGAGACATAAAACTACTTATTATTCTGCAGAACTTTATTTGCACTGTTGGTGTTTGCTCTAATTTGGGGTGGAGCATTAAGATTAGGCAGACAAGTCCTGAGGGCATCTTATATACACAATTACTCTACAGATTAGCAACAAGGAGGAGCAGCTGGCATACTGTGACTTTTCTTAACCCTTTTAGACCAGTGGTTCTCAACCTTTTTAATGCCGCGACCCCCAACCGGTCGTAAGTCGAGGACTACCCAACCAGTCGTAAGTTGAGGACTATCCAACTGGTCGTAAGTCAAGGACTTTCCCTGCCCAGGAGAGCCGTGCATGCGTGGTGCCGCCCCCTGCGCCGGCCGAGGCGTAGCTGGCAAGCGGCAGAGACGGAGCAGGCCGACCACCAGCTGGGCCACCAGCTGGCCCAGCCCAAGGGAGGTAAGACACCCGCTGGGCCCCACGCGCGCCAGTAACTCTCCCTGCGCCCACCGGCCTCCCACCTCCCACCCCTGGCCCTCTTTTACTTACATTTTTAGTAGTTGATCAGCAGGGAGGGGTGGAAACTTCCAGATAGCTCGCCTTCGCTGCAGACAACTTGCAGCACCGTTTGCAGAATGGGACTTTTGGTGGGCTCAGCAGGGCAGAGACAGCCTGGACAATTCCTATTGGCTTTTGAAAGCCAATAGAATTAGACCCTATTCAAGAGAGTCTATTCTATTGGCTTTCAAAGGCCAATAAAATAAAAGAGAGTAGCACAGCTAAGGAAAAGGGGGAAAAATGGCCGACTGCATTGTTTGGCGACCCCTGTGAAATGGTCGTTCGACCCCAAATGGAGTCGCGACCCACAGGTTGAGAACTGCTGTTTTAGACTATGGCTGTGAGCCAAGGAATGAAGGCAATTAGACCTTGTTTGTGTTTTACCTCACATAATACTCCTGATGATTCTCCAAATCTCTTGAGTAAATTTAGAAGATGGGAATCTGAAAAAAAAAGCTTCCCACTTCTACAATACTAAATTCTTACCCTTTAGCACCAGAATTAAACATTCAGAGAGAAATGGACAAATGTTATCAATGTATCCAAGTTGTAGCATTGTGAAATTGGAAAGGATTATGCTTTTGACCTGACTATTGATAATTTGGTGTATCTTATATCTTTTTTAGAGTCATTTTCATGTGGTGGTAGAAACTGGGAAACCATGAGTTCTAGTCCTGCCTTAGACACAAAGCCCACCGGGTGACCATTGGCAAATTGTTGTTTCTTAACCCTAGGAAGCAGGCAATGATGAATCACTTTTGAAAATCTTACTAAGAAAATTGCAGGAACTTATCCAGGTAGTTGCCAGGAGTTAGCACTGACTCAAAAGCACGTGCAAACACACACGCATGTACACACACATCTTACTTTTAGGTTTCACTCAAAAAAGTCATAATTTCTCATGGTCTTTGAGTTCTCATCTGCAAAAGAAGTTGTTTTAATTCAATGCACTTTTTTCTTTGCTTTCTGAACATGATCTATCCTCAACCCCAGTCAATCCCATCAAACTTCTGCATAGGCTACAGTGCATAGCTCTCAAGAAACTATCTGTGAGAAACAAGGGGATAGAAGGAATATTCAACATAAATAATCAAGAGATGGGAGGTAAGTCCATTGGTGGCTTGTTTCATAAAATGCAAGTCGGTCTAGGTGACAAGAAACCTGGAAAGAAAATGATTCAAACCTGATAGTCTATTTTATAATGAATTTGCTAATAAATGAGAGTTGGAAATGCCTCATTTCCAAGATGCTGTATCTGCCTTTTAACATCAAAAGAAAAAATAAAAAGCTAAGATACAACAGTAATTACAGGTGTATAAAAGTTACTACAGAAGTCAGTTTTTAAACTATTTCATTCTCGATCAGACAGATTCATGGAGCTTTGAAGACCACTTGGAAGCTATAACTGATCCACAATGTAGCAACATGTGCACTTCCGGGCTCCCAGGAGTTTGCTCATGTTACACCACTGTTGGGTAAGTTGCACTAGCTCCCATTCCCTTTCTGATGTAATTTAAGATGTTGGTTTTCACTTTTAAAGCTATTGATAGCCTAGGCCCAGGTTATCTGCAGGGCCACCTCTCCCTGAAGATATCTGAAGGACCACCTCTCCCTGTCCCACCGAACTGCTACATTCCTGTCTTCCTGTCTGACATGTCCTCTCTTAAATGTTGTCATCCAGTAGGATTGTTTGAAACTCTCCTGGCCCTTTGGAACAACTTTCCACCTGAGATCTTGAAGGCTCCTACTTGGTTTTCTGGAAGGCTGAGTCTCCCTCCAAGCACTGGGCTAGGATGGAGACGAATCAGTGAATACAGAGTTGATGGTATATTATGGAGCTATGTTGGGAAGAGTGATGTTCCTTTGTAAGGGTATTCAATAGCTTTATGGGTTTTGCTGTGATTCATCTAAGATTAAATAGGTGGCTGTATGAGATGAAAAAAAAAAGAGAAAAGGAAAGAGATAGACAAATCTCTGATATATTCTCTCTGGGGCTGCAGCTTCTCGAAATTGCCTATTGTTAGAGACTGTAACTACATGACAAACTCTGCTTGAGGTGTGGAACTATTGTTTAAAAAAACTTCCCCTTACCTAAAGATGGAATTCACACAGTATACCAAAGAGAGCCTGGAATAAGAAAGTCCCACACAGGGAGCAACAAGTCACCAGTATTTAGCCAGCTGATATTGAGCTTGTTTTCGCTCCATTGATTATCCAATAAGTTTAGAGGTGAAAGTCCATTCCAGAGAGGACATGTCATACAGGAAGACAGGAATGTAGCAGATAGTGCAAATCCCTGTGGTATACAGGTATACAGGGCATGCCTGAACACTGAGCCTTAGTACTTGGGAAACCCAAAGGGCAGCCACTCACATTTGATCCTGACTGATGAGGGGCAGATGACATGGATTTTGTAATTTGTTTTAATTAACATAGGTATTTTGTATTTTAATTTGACTTATTTTCTCTCTTTTAAAATGATATTCAGGCTCATTACAGACTGTTAAATAGCTTTTAACATCCCTTAGTTGACAAGATAAACTGGCTGGAGTTTTATCTCCAGATAAGAAAAAGTTAGTTTGTACGAATTTGGGTCTGGTTTATCTCTTTTGTGCACTCTAAAACAACCCTTTTCCTTACAATTTACGCCCCTTTTGACGTCAGACCTCATTTTAATGAATGTGGGATATTATGGGATGCAAACATATAACATGTTTGACTACATGTGACTGATTTCCTATGCAAGGGGGAGGCTACTTTTATCCTGTCCATTTAATTTTCCTCTTGCGTTTTCTTTGTTGTGTTAACTATAAAAAGGAATGTCAGATGTGTCTCGGGGTTCTTTTTTTCATTGGGAGATCCCATTTTATCAGGGTACCCTAATACACTGCTTTTAAATGATCTTCCGACTCGGTTGCTTATTGTGAAGATAAACCGAGGCCGACCCTAGGGCCAGATTTGGCTATCACTGAGCAATTAGATGGCTTCACAAGTAAGTTGGTAGTGTGAGCATTCTCTTTAGCCATTCTGTGCCTGTTCTAATCACACACAGAGGCATCCTCCTTAACTCAATTTATCATCAGTTTTCTGGCTTCCCGCAATCCCCTTAATTATAAATTGATTACAGTTGCTTGGCTCACACAGCACTAAACGAAAATCTAATTTTCCAGTTCAGAGTTTTACACAAACACAGACTGTGTGACTTAGCTCTTAATGTGACCTTCAAAATGCTAGCTAGGTCTGGGTCTCTTTCCCTGTCATCTAGCTCATGTTTTTGCAGCCTTTCTCTGGTAGTCCACATGTTAAGGCAGTAATGGATGATTTGCCCACAGGATGTGTTTCACAATCAGGAGGGTAGATAGCACCTACATGAAGACTCAGCATGAGTCTGAGACTGCTCAAATACAGATCAAAGCGTTCCTCCTCACAACTACTAACCTCAAGCTGGTGATGCTTCAGTAAAGGGATTCTTGCAACCGAAACAGACAATGCTGTGTTCGGCTCGTCCTTGCCCCATAATGAAGTCATGTTTTTTTTTTTCTGTTCTAGTTTGAAAGTGGTCTTTTCCCATTTCTTTTCCCATCCAGTCTGCCTGAAGCACATCAGAACTGGCTCCATGCGTCTTGGCTACAGGTATGCCTACTGATTTTCAAGCTGTTTAAGCTCTCCCAGTGCCATCTCTTCACTCTCGTCAACTCACAGGTGACAGAAGAATTGGGGAGAGAAAGAGAAGATCCAGGATATCCAGGTTCCACGTCCTTCCATAGAAAACAGGGAGAGCAGTCTTCTGTCACTTTTCTCCTGGAGTGGGATCCCAGAGATAATAGCACAGGATCCTTCCCCAGCTTCTCTCCATCCCTTTTCTCCTGCCATTCCCCCAATGGCAGAAAAAGAAGGGGAAAAACAGGGGAAGTGGCTTTCTTGGTGCCGGTTTTGCCAGGCCCACCAAATGGCTGAAGAGCTGCTGTTCTCCACTTCCTTCCCCACCGCTTGGGAAGTTGCCTTTCCTGTAAAGATTGGATCACCTTTGGATAATGGATTTTTCCTGCACAATGTATAAAACGTTGCTGCAATTTAATGGTTTTCAATGTCACTGAAAGCAGCATGTTTGTAAATGAACAAAGGGAGGGAACTATGTGATATATGAGAAGAATTATAGAAGAGAATGTTTGTTTTCCTGCAGACATTTCAATACCAAATTAGCAACATCAATGCTAAAAGGGAGTAGGATTTTCTCTTATGTTATATACCAGGGTAAGTCTGTTAGTCTGTCCTTGTATTGTGAAATGAAGGCATTTTCATCATGTCTTCTGACTGCTCGTTCGTGTTCAGAGACTAGCAGAGCACATCAGACTTAACCATAGTTTCAACTGGGAATCTATGAGCATCCTAGACCAAGCCAAGTCCAAAAATATAGAGAATTCCTGGAAGCCTGACACTCAAACAAATCAGCTAGCTATAGGCATATACAGATAAACAACATCTGCATACCATTCACAAAGCCTAAAAGGAAATGAAAAGACTTAAACACCACTTCACTAGTAATCAACACCCAAATGAGCAGGATTAATGCCAAGATAAACACTAGACCAGGGGTGGGGAACCTTGTCTCTTTTATGACTTGTGGACTTCAACTCCCAGAATCCCTGAGCCAGCCATGGTAGCTGAGGAATTCTGTGAGTTGAAGTCCACAAGTCATAAAAGAGCCAAGGTTCCCCACTTCTGCACTAGAACAACAATCAAGAAGCAAACATCCCAATTAAGAAACTAGCAACTCAGACGGACAAGCTAACAATAAACAAGAGCCCCCTCAAGGAACCACCAAGAACCCTCATACCCACACTGACAGGGAAAACCACTGGTATACAAAAACAAGAGCAAACCACACTCTCTTCTAGCACTGATGATGTTACCTAGTTTGGTAGTAAAAAGTTTGCAAGCAAACAACTCAGCTGAAAGGGCACCAAGGACCCCACTTGTGGGAAAACATTTGTTGTCAGCGAAAGAAAAAGAATAAACAAACAAATAAATAAAAATGGAGGCAGAATAAAACTCCACCTATTATTCCTCCAGCCCGCCTTTTTAAAATATTTGCTAAGAACAAACATAATTGTTCCTAGGCTGACCTGTTCTTTGGCAAAAGGCAATGTGTTCTGGCATCACTTCCAACACAGCTCTTCAGCAGCCTCTGCTGGTCATCTTGAATACAAGAGACTCAATCTTGTCCCAGAGAAGCCTTTATAGAAGAAGTCAAAAAGATATATTCACAAGTTGTTTCTTTTTGCAAATACTAAAATATAACAGTGACCGGTTTTAACATGTGACTGCTGCCTATAGCCCCTCCTTACAAACAGCTGTGTTTGAGTGCAATTTAAAATTCCTCCAAGGATTCCCCAATGAAATATCCTTTCCGTAGCTGTCAGCAAGCAGGCTGGGTCTCCAGACCCCCTTTAGTCTTTCAGTGGAGATGTCTTGGCCCTTTGATCCTCTGTCTGACCCAGCTCTACACAACTATAGTATAAGGAAGGGGTTTTGGCTCTTCCTGCCCAAAGCCCAGAGATATGGAACTTAACCAATTTTATGCCAGTCCCAAAATACAAGGAATGGCTACTTAGCTGTGTATAGCTTCTGTACAGGTTTTAATGTGATATTCCGATATGAAATCAATGAAGCCCAATCTGCAGATGAGCAAATTTATTGAGAAATGAAAAACAATGGAAAGCAAAATAGTAAACACACAGAATTCTAAATTAAATCCGTACAGCTAGACTAGCTAATTTAGATATTTACCTCCTTTGAATAAACTGGAATTCAGCGCGTATCCAAAATCGCTGATCATCTGGTCCTCATGCATGGATTTTTTTCATTGGCAGTCTGTGCAACTGCTGCTATTTCCCTTCTGGAGTGTGACACTTATTTTTATAGAATATGGAGGACAACATTTTGGCCAAGTGTGGTTAGTCCAATTGATTTCTCTTCTGTGAAATGGGGATTACTGAAAAAATATATACATTCAAGGACAATGGATTTTGCAGCTCTGATATCACCTATGCCTAAGGCATATTATTTGAAAAGTTTCTTTAATAATTCTCTTTTAACACCTATTTTATGCCTTTTAAGGGCACAATTCCATAATTTGTGTTCCATTATTTTTTTAATCAAACAGCCTTAATGTTCACAAAGGTATCAACTAAAAAAATCTGGAATCTCTCCCATGACACTCCATATTTTTTTTTTTTTGCACTTTTCTTTCCCCTTTAAACAAAAATATGTCTCTTTCTCCTATTGTTCTACTCTTCACCTTTTTCTACAAATCCTTTGTTCCAAATTTTCTTGCTTCAGCTTAATACTACCACTACTTTTTGAGTTCTAAATCTTATAAAGCTCTAGACCAGTGGTTCTCAACCTTTTTAATGCTGCGACCCCCAACCGGTCGTAAGTCGAGGACTACTCAACTGGTGCAGCACCTTTTGCAGAATGGGACTTTTGGCGGGCTCAGCAGGGCAGAGACAGCCTGGACAATTCCTATTGGCTTTTGAAAGCCAATAGAATTAGACTCTATTCAAGAGAGTCTATTCTATTGGCTTTCAAAAGCCAATAGAATAAAAGGGAGTAGCACAACTAAGGAAAAGGGGGGGGGGAAATGGTGGATTGCATTGTTTGGCGACCCCCGTGAAATGGTCATTTGACCCCAAATGGGGTCCCGACCCACAGGTTGAGAACCACTGCTCTAGACTAGAACCCAAACTTGCAGTTGGGCAACTTCCTACACTTACTCTTGCCACCTGGATGCTTCACTAAGTAAAATAATGCACATGGTTTTTCCTATGCTACTATATGTTAGAACAGGAATAGACTTTGCACTGTGGGCTTGCAAACTGAAGACAGCTTTGCATAACTGCCTCCAAAAAATAAATCATTAACAAGGCTTCATTACAAAACTTTTATGGACCAATTCAGCATCTAGCCAAGGATTCTGTCTCAAAAATGATGACCCATGAAAAGAACGATCCTCTCCTAGGCTATTTCTTTAATATGCTAGTACTCCTAGATGACACCACCATCCTTGGGCATTAACACTAAAGGTGATAATCAGATGCTATTTTACACATCCAAAGAGGAGGCACTGGCAAATAGCTGCTCAAGCCAAATGCCTTTTAATGCCATAGGCCCAGAATCAAGATAAGCAAATTGTGCAAAATGAGAATAGTGCTATTATTTATAGTCATTTAGGAACTGCAAAGTCGGCGCTCTTTGAGCTTGGTTGTTTGCTTCTCCACGGCTACAGGTGTTCTCTTCTATTAGTCATTTAGGAAATTCAGAGACAATGTGGTGTGTTCGCACACGATAAGATTGCTGCACCTCCCACCCTGTCATCAAGAACTTAACATGTTGCTTCCAAACAGTAACTGTAAGGATCATTTTTTTCTGAATGGAAAAATTCTACCTCCCAGGAATCCTTTGGAAGCTTGCTACATCAGACTGGCCCACCCATAAGTGTCTCCATAGGTGCTGTACTAAACTACAGCTTCCATCAATCCCGGCCACCCAATGGCATATTGCTCATTATGGAGTTGGGAGTCCAAAAATCTGGAGGCATCTTTCCCACTCCAAGTAGCTAACAGACCTTTCTTCCTCCATGAAACCCAGTTCCCTTCGCCAACAACATCAGATTGGAAAACCAAACCAGGGGAACATGTGGCAGTGGCAAATTCACAGTATACATACAGAATGGAAATTTGATTAAATATAAGCAAGAATGGGTTCCCTATATATTTTATTCACACAAGGCACACTCAAATACTTAAGATTAGTTTTTATCTTAATGTAAAGCTAGCAACCAGAAGCAATTTTAATGTTTATAAACCAGTATCATCACCATCTTGGTACAATGAGAGGGAAACTAGAACTTACCGTAAATGCCGGCGTATAAGACGACTTCCGCGAGCGCTGAAATCGGCGCCAAAGACGGGGGTCGTCTTATACGCCGAGTCGTCTTATACGCCGGAAATACTGGTAGTTTCCGGCGTATAAGACGACATTCTAGGAATGCGGCCCGGCTATAAAGACGGGGGTCGTCTTATACGCCGGGTCGCCTAATATGCCGGCATATACGGTAATATATATTTTTACTGATTGTTTTTAGTATTAATTTGTATTATTTCTTTTGTAAATAAAATACGTATTTTATATAACAACAAATAATGGTGATGTCTGTACAAATGTTAGGGTTTGTAGTGATTTGCAATTGTTTCTCAAGATGATGTAAGCTTAGTTTTATATATTCAATTAATGAAATAATAAGTTTTAAATCAATTGTAAAAATAGTTTAACTGCTGATTTTTTACTTCCCATCCACTGTCTTTTCTCATTTTCTTCTTTCTTCTATGTAATCATTTATTCTCTAAATGTTTTAAAATAAATTCACAAGCCCTCTATTTCATAGCAGGATTGCAAGGAATCGAAAAAGGACACAGCAAAACACCCATCAGTTTCATGATTTTATTTTACAGTCAGAAAAGGGGAAGCCAATGATTTCAAATCCGTTAATCCAGATATAAGATATGTAGATAAATCAATTTAACAAAAATCTTCTCTAAGGAAGGCTTCGGGGAAGGAATTGGGGCAGAGAGAGCAAGGAAGGAACCACACACAGACACAGAGACTT